TCTTCTTCATGTCTTCTCACCGGGCTTCGGTCCAGCACAGCTTATAGCGTTCAGGTGACCGCATGTACCTACTCCAGACTGTGCAGTGCTCCATCTGCTGCCTATAATATAACAACACTACCACCGGGTAAGTATAACAGCCTCCGTTCGTTGATTGACCCGCATCCTCCTACCTGCCAGTATGTGATCTTGCTCATGAATGCTGCAGGTGCATGAAAGATTACTAATTATGCGCAAAGTGGCATCAATGAATGGAGCAAGGGAAGCTCGTTGATGAACGTTTACTGAGCGCTAACGGAACTCACTCTTTCCACTCTCTCATTCCCGAGCCTCGCCAGCAGCTGCGCAGCACCTGCGATCATATGCAGTGCCGGTAAAACCTCGGGTGGCACACCGCTTGGTTCTGAGTATGAGTGGCTGATGATGGCTAATGAGCCAGAAACGGCCATTCCAGTGTCCTTTGCGTTTACCGGCCATTCAATCTGCCTAGGACTAATAGACGCTATGGCTGCTTTCAGGGCCCGATAAATGAGTCCCAAGGTAGAGCTGGACAAATGAGTTCGGTTGGCCGTCAGTGCACGTTCATCAACGAGTGTCAATATCGCGTGACCTAAACCGCGGCGAGACAGCGGGCTCGTGGCTCAATGGTTAAGGCGTTATACTTTGATCAAAAGATCGCGCGTGAAAGCCTCAAGTGGTGCAGTAGTTGGGGCTGGATACGACTGGCTGAAGATGGCTGATATATCAGAAATGCCCATTCTAGTCTTCCATGTGTTTGCCGGCAATACTAAATGAATGAACTAAAGTTGGATAGTGTAGGAGGTTAGCTGAATTATAAACACTAAAGAAATATTTAAATACCACCTCCTGTTTTAGACAAGTCAAAAACTGTGGACTTAATCAACTTTAGTTTTAGATATGGGAAAGACGGTTCTACGCAGGGAGACCGAGTAACTAAATGAACACAAAATGAAAAACATGTAAAACAAAACACATTTAGTCCGATTTGCACTCAAATGCACTTCAGTAATAACTGTAATTCAAATTATGGCTACTGGCTATCCGCCAACAATTTAGAGTATAAATCAAAAACACGGTTTTTACAAGAGTTATATGTACTTTATACGCGTCTTCACTGGTTCAGATGCGGTTGACGAAGACAAACAGGATTTTGCCTGATGTTGCCGATAGGAATTCATTATCGTTGAAGTAATGATCACCGATCAGTGTGCTGGCCCAGGTTTACCTGCAAGTGTAGCTTGGGCAATCCGACGGTGGAATCCTTTCCAATAAGAATGAACGGGCAAGTCCCACGAAATGATTAAGTAGTAGACGCAATCGCTGGAAGAAGAATTTCATTTGCCTGACGTCTTCTATTCCAGCTTCAATGCCTTTTTTTAGGAACAGTATCTGACAAGTGTAATTCATGTCGCACATTCAGGAGAAGTAACGGCTCCACCGTTCGTAGAGGACGTTTGCCCACTAGAGCTCAGTCACCTAGTTCACCAGCATTGACGTTGGACAGTGCACTCGCCTGCAGGTTCACTTAGTGAGAGAGATAGAAATACACTACAATTTGGTGGCTGTATTAAACATTTTCAGAAAAAAATGACTTCATTAAGTGAGACTGAGAGATAAATTACTAAAATAAGCAAAACGTTGAGGGTTACATCAAGTTTACATCTGTTATGGAGTCAGGTCCAATCTCAGCTTCTGGATTTTCGTTTCTTTCCAGAACAGGTAGACTGCTAGGAATGGGAGCATGGAATGCTGACATGCCGATGTACGGAAGCTTCGCCGTATAGCAGTACGGAAAGACCTCGCAGCCATTAATTCAGAGTAAAGGGGATGGGCAACCTCGTCAGGTGGCCAACCGACGAATTTTCTGACCGTTCCAGAGTGTCGTTGTATTGCAAGATCTGCTTAAATAGCATAAGAAACACCAGTAGCCTTCAGACAAATCAGCACATTATTTTATGCAAGGCCGGATAAAATAACCAGTGCGTAGTAGGGATTGAGTGGGAGAATGCAAGCTTCTACGAATCGCTGGAGTAGGGTGTCAGCTGTGTGATTGCCTTGTCTGCTTGCTTTGTCCAAACCATATCTCTGGATCGAATATAGGTTGGGGGGAAATTTGACGGATGGATTTAAGTTGGGATCTGAATCGCCAAGCGAATATATTTCTTGACCCACCAATCACTCTTAATTCGTCTCAGAAACCTCCTTCCTTCATTGGACTTTGTCACGCTTAAAGCAGGTGGTGACAATTAAAACACATTTTTATTTAAATTATCACTAACTTTTTGTTTCAGTTCCCGAACAGATAAGTGTGACAAATGTTACGGCGACGACAGCCACAGTCTACTGGCTGCCGATGCCCACTATTGCAGACGACGACCACAACGACACCTATAATTACGTCGTGACCTACAGTGCCGGTAGGGTCCCGTCAGACGAAGAGGGGATCAGCACAAGTTCACTCACTCTGAAGGACACTCCATCGTATCACTTGCAAAATCTCCAACCGAATATGCACTACGCCATCACAATTAAGCGCTGTACTACAGCAGGCCGGTGCAGTCACCCCTCAGGAGCAGTTCTGGCTATAACCCTTCCGGATGGTGAGTTCCTCCCCTCCCTCCTCCATTCTACCCTCTCTTTCCCCGACAAATTCCACTGACCTTCTAGCCACTGTGTCTAATCCAACTCCCGTTCTACAGCCCCTCAACAGGTTTTCATTAGCGAGGTCACAGCGGACAGCGCTCGCATCTCCTGGGATGCTCCAGCCCACGGTGGAAGCGTCAACCTCAGTTACATCGTTCGTGTCGTCGGAACGAACGACGACGAGGGCGAAGTACAGACCTGCTCTCCGTCAGCTGAAGACAGTGCGTTGAGTTGTGTTGTGGACAATCTACGACCCGGTCAGGACTACGCGACCGCCGTCACCGCCTGCGCTGAGCCAGGTCGATGCAGCCTTCCCATCGCTAAGGAGCCTCTCCACACCCTACCCGCCTGTATGTCGCTTTCATTCAATATATTTTTGAACTGCTAAGTACACCTGATAAGGTCTCCCTGTAAGCTGAGCACCGATCAGTACTATGCAGGGACAGGGCTAAAGCTGTGGCGCTGAACCACGGAAAGAGGCCGAA